AGAGCAAAATGCTGGAGTAAGTCTAATTTACTGGAGTGGGTTAAGAATTGGATCAACCCAACCCAACCCAACCCAACTCATTAACAACCCTACCGTAGATTACAGAGTTTTGCCTCCAGCTGGAATTGAACTGTTGACCTTGTCTGTGGAGGGAGGGGTGCCTAGACCACTAGGCTACAGGACCCTATCTTCTTATTTTTTTTATTTATATACTGTTTCAGCAATTTTTTTATGAAATAAAAAAAGGGTTTAGTGGGCTCACCATTTTTTTTAACTGATCATGTGAATGGGTTTTACTTATTAACTTATGCTTTTACTGTTACTATTGGAATTGAATTCTGATATTTATTTATATAACAATAAAGATAATAAATTTTTGTATTGATATATTTGTTACTACTCCAAGTATCCTCTATATGATTTCTTATATTTTCTTTTTTATAACCTTTATTATATAAAGGACAGGGTACAGATCTATTAAAATCAAAATAATTATTAGATTTAAAACTATGTTTCAAAGTTAAATAAGAAAATCACTTTAATACTATTTTAATAATGTGTTGTTGCTTTTTTTCTAGGTCTTTAGATAGAATAGAAATTGGTAATTGAGGTTTGGATGGTCTAGATTGAACATTTAGTTGTGGTACAAATAAAGTCTTTTCCTCAAAAGATATCTGTATAAATTGAATATAGATTTTTTTCTATTCTTTCATAAGATCATCGAGCTATACAATACTCAAACCACTTTTTAGTATACTGCGATATAATAACTCTTCACTGACTAGTCTCTTAAGATCAGTTAAAAATTTATGATATTTTCTAGAGTTTTTTTTTCTTTCTATTCCACCATGATAGAAATGTATATCTTTTTTCAAATCCCCACAAAAACATCCCATAGTCTACCTATTTTTCTTAGTCTTTGTAATAATCGAAAATTTTTGAAATTTATTTTATGTTTGATAGCATACTGATAAAAATGATTTTTGTTTGGATCAGTCTTGGAAATTGGAGAGGTGTAAATTTTATTTGATGCCATTACCTGAGTTTCTGGTAAACTGTCCTGTAAGATATAATCATCAGCATCCTTTTTAATTCATGAAGATTCAGGCTTTACCTAAGGATCGAGCCCAGTCTCTTTCATATATGTTCTATATAAAATTAACTGAATTTTATTAGTCAAAGAACTTGGTACTTCAACCAATTTAGCATACCAGTTCAAATATTTAAAGGTTAAGACACAAAGTGTCATTTTTCTAAAATAGGCTTTATTCATATTATAATTGCAAATTCAAATTAAATATAGATTGTGTTTTAGTCTTATTTATACATTACATATTTCAAAATAGCAATTAAAAAAATAAATAAATATTATTAATTAATGAAACCAAAGAATTGCTAAAGGCAGTCACATGGATGACTTTATGATTTATTCTGTCATTTTGATTTCTTGCTTTTCACATATAATAAAATAAGATCCAACCTCGTATCTACTTTTTACACTTTTCTCATCATGATTTAGTTTACATACTGGGCATAATAAACCCTCAATAATTCCATAATTATCAAATTTTTCAGTAATAAATGCTTTATATAGATCAGAATATCGCAACAGTGTCTTATTACAAAAGTAAGCATGGTCATGGGTTGGATTGGATGATGTGCTTGATTTTTCTGAAATTGTTTCTGATGATTTTTCTAGTAATAACTTCTTAGAAAATGCACTTACCTTAGTTTCTGGTAAAGTACTCACAATTTCAGTTGTATGATTTTGGTGACAGGCCGATGTTGAAATTTCAGTCATGTGATTTTCTATATTAGACTCATCTTCCCCAGTATCATCATCAAAATTTTTACTTTCACATGACCATGTTTAAAAATCTTTAATTCGTTTAAGTTAGGGTTAGCATTTATAATAGGGCTAGGTTTTAAAAAGACAATAGTAAAATTACTCGAGGAATTTTTTTTGTTAGAGCTCAAAAGGTGGTTTTTTATGCAAGTTTTTGAGGAATAAGCGATTTTTGAAAAGCAAACGTTTTGTTTTGATCTTCCTGATTGTGTAACGTTACATTAAAACGAAACACACTATTGGATAATCATCACGTGAAAGTGAAAATTTGATGGCGATCCTGGGGTAGTTTATTAGACTCATGATTAGAAATATTATCAATTATCTTTTGAATTTGTTCGTTGGTCAATTCTGAAATAGAATTTGCGCTATATGCTTTAAGATACTTAATTTTATCTATACCTATTTTGTCAAATATTTTATAAGTCCTTATGGCCTTTTGGGTCTTTTTGCATAAAGTTTTACGCGAAATTTCTGGGAGCTGTAATCCCATTTCCTTGGACCTTCTTTCATGAATAATAATGAGATGCTTTAATATTTTATCATAAATTATACCTTTTGCTTTTTTCTCGCCAATTTTGCCATTGCTATTTTTTATAATATCATTATACTAAATCATGAACTCATTTACATAGTTAATCCAGCATAAGGTTTCTTCCTGGTTAGCTTTTATAGCGCTATATTCAGCATCAGTTGCCTTATCAAATAATTGTGCTAAATCAAGTAACAAGACTGTAGAAGAATTTTGGCGAAGAACCATCATTGAAATTTCAATAACATGGTTTGAGGAAGCAAAGCTTTGAAGAGGCAAAGCCTCGAGACTATGTCTCATCTTCGATTCATCTAAAAGATTATTATTATCCTGAATGCCATTAACTATCACTTGAGCGATATTTTCTGTTTCTTTTTCTTGTATGATTGAGATGTTTTGTCCTGGCTTTAATGCTGATTCTGATCCCAAAGCTTTTTCACAGTTTTCAGGTCCAGAGATTCAGGTGTTGATGTGTTTGATGTTTTGAATTGAGTTGAGTTATTATGTGATCCTTGAAGTTTTTTTTTCCAGTTTCTTTCTTTTATCTCACTACTAATCCTTTCCTTGTGCATTGTTTCTAAAAATTCGAGGGTCTTGACTGAATCATTATCGATAATATCTTGTAATAAAGAGGTCGTAAATGTTTCAGGTTCCATTGAAGATTCAAATTGTGTTGAGCTATATTCTATTTTAGGCAAGGGATCAGGAGTAATACCTTTCTCCTCATAAGAATGGTTCTTGATATATGGTAAAATATCTTTTGTATGAGATGCTTCCTGTTCATTAATAATAATCTGGATCTGTTTCTGTTCCAATTTCATGATTCTATCTTTAAGCTCAGTATTTTCTTCTGCAGTCTGTTTCAATTTGGCGATCCTGGCTTTGAGCTCAACATTCTCAGCTTCTCGCCTGGCATTCTCTTCCATAACCTGTTTTAAAAGCTTAGCATTCTTGGCTTCGAGCTCAGCCTTTTTGGCTTCAAGTTCAGAAATTCGTTGTTTTAGTAAATCAATTTCAGATTGCATGTTTTAGATTATATAGATTTATTATTTATTTAAAATGCATAGGGTCAGTTTATTATAATCACCAAATTTGCATTACACAAAAATACAAGGCTTGTCTAATTATTTTATATTCAATCTATATTTTAAAGTATTTTATTTAGACGATAAAGTAATGATTCAAAATTAATGAATAGATGCAAGAATATCCGAATCGTCATCATTTGCATGCAGAGTACTGCCACGTTTAAAACTGGTTTTGGATTTATACAAAGATTCCACATGCTGTTGGAGTTTTATAACACGATTCTAGAAAATATATAGTAAAGAGTTAATACTAAACAATAATGATAATGAATAAAACCCTTTCAATATCTTAAACATAAGCATTATGCGAATGATATCAGATATATTCTCCAGCTGTAATGGTGTATCAGGAATTGTAAATCCATCATACTGATCAACAAAATAAATTCCATCCACATAATGCATTGAATAAAGAAGGAACTCCTTTTCTGTATTATTAAAATTATATTAAGATTAATAAACATTATATAAGAAATTAATAAGCCGAATTACTACATACTATACACAAGTAATCTGAAAGTTTCCAACTCCTCGATACCTGGCACATTTTCAGGCAATAGTTTCAAAAGTTTTGGAAGAGCTAACCGCATGGCTATAAATCGAATAGTTCTTTTAGAAATTTTTATAATAAAAATAGAAAAATTAAAGTTACGCTTTCACCTTTAAGTATTTTCTCTCAGTCCTCGTTCAACTTTTTGTCATCTTGTTTAAACGCGTTCCTGATTACCTCACCAAATGCTATTTGAAAATCCTTATTCCCCGCTTTTATAGTTAAAATGGTGTCATGATGCCAGCTACCTACACACGATTTACATTTATCTACATCCCTTGTGAGGTCCAATTGGGTTTTCCTATCAATATTTTCAACTTCACCTCTGGTTGAATTCGATATATACGTAAATATATAAACCTTATTTTAAAAAAATGACAATCAAAATGGAATAATTATGTTTTCATCCGGATTATACTGTTTATGTCCAAAAAAATCTCCTTCCAAAGTTGATTTACGATCCAACTTCTGTATGCGTACTCAGACGCGTCAGAGTCATTAAGGGGGTTGAATGGCGTCTGAAAACATTTTAAGCTACTAATTATAGGTATAGTATAAGTCTGTCTTTAATTGCACAGTAAATAATTATGAAATATGTTCTATATAATTTACAAGGTGGTGTAAATTTGTTGTATCCACTGAAGAGACCAGTCTCTAGCGAATAAATATGAGTGCTGACCTACAAATGGCGATTCACTTATGGTAATCCAAACCTTCTGCAAATCTACATAGTATCCGGTTGTGGCGTCTATGATAGCTTTATTATATTTTTCTAAAAGTGATTCCAGGTTTTCCGCAATTGGAGGAAGTGAACTTACTATCTTCTTTTCTATCTAGAATCGATATATTTCCATATCAATAAGTGAAATAAAACCAGGAAAAAAAAATAAAAGCGTAACCTTTTCCCAAGTCGATTCCATCATCAACCATTCTTTATTAACATACAGGCACCTTATCGGATCATATAAATTGCGTTCTGGTAGGAATATAATCTGGTATCTTGCAATACTGCTTTTGCTGTTAATGAGCCTCTCCATAATCGTACCTTTTAAAGTCTGTGATACAGAAAAGCATTTTGAATAATGAACAGTAATTAAGTGTAAAAAGACAAAATTTTCAAACCTCATCTGGTGGTAGTTCTTGTTCTTGTGAAGGCGAGTCTTTTACATCACTGCAATCCAGCGAATCCGTATTAACTTTACTCTTTTCTTGTGAAAGCGTGAGTGGGGTCACAGCGCGAGTATAGAAATATTGATCGATTTTCATCCGCTTTGAACCTTCGTCATTGTCCTAATATTAAGATTTAATTCATTAACAACAAGCGCAAATTAATAGTTCTAGTTAAAAAGCTACGCATCGTTACCTCTTTCTGATTGCTTCTCTTTGGCGCAAGCTTTACATCGAACACCTCTCCACTCATAGTCCCATATACACCATTTGTTATCTCTTGCACTGTCCCGTTTATAGTCGAATGATGAATATGAATCCGCAAATACGAATGCATCTTTTCCTATTCCTTCACTTTTTTTTTGTCGGGTCGATTATCTTAAAATGATAAATTTAGGGAATTAGTAGTATCCTTAACTAACATGATTTCATTCCATATAACTTTTATTACTATTTAACTTTCATTTTGCCATTATGCAAGCATAAAGGTCATCTGTGGCTAGCAGTGTCAGTAGGCTCTAAGACTTTTAACTCGAGGACTTTTAAACATTAGGCAAGCACAAAGGTCATCTGTGTCCCAATACTGCTTTTGTGGCTCAGTACGAAGACTTGAATGATAGAGAGCACGAAGGTCCCTACCACGCCACTTATTCTTTCGAGTAAAAAAAAACTCCAATACTTGCCTCCCTGTAGAGTTTTTGAAGTTCCAGCGCTTTTTTACGCCTTTGACCATTCTCAGTATTGGCTATCAACTCGAGAGATGATAAGTAGCATTCTATTTTTTGTCTATAAGATTCTATATTGGTATATTCATTGAGGAATCTTACAATATCCCAATCTGACACTTTTCGTCTGAAATATTCATGTATCTACAGTATTTTTGGAATGAACAAAGGTAAAAGGCCAAGATCGCAAAAAAAGTTCACTTGCATTAACCTTCATACCGTTTTAGATGTAGACATAGGTAAAATTTTTTAGTAAATAATGATGGTTTGTCATACTATATATATTTCACAAAGAAAACAAACGCATTTAGGATACGCGTTCCTCGTATGCAAGCTGTTTCATAATAAGAAATGCTTGTCTTTCTAATCATTTGACAAATGCGAATATCAAGTGAATTAACCATTGATCAAAATTTCAGCGACGGCCCGTCATCAAAATCATATCACTTTTCCAGAATAAATCCCAAATATACTGTACATGCAGATTATGAAGTTAAAAACTAGCTAGTACTATAATATTAATAAAATAATGTATTTTGATTGGTTAATTATCACGGGTAGATCTACCAAAATTAACCAATCATATGAATGTCTCCCAATGAGGTTGAACAGGTTAAAACTCATAGGAGAACTTTCGTCTGATTGGCTGATTTTTTGTAGATCTACTCGTGATTTCCCGTAATAATTAACCAATCAACTGACAATACGTATGAAACTTTATGTCAGCGAAGCTTATATACTATTCTTTATCAATTATAAATTCAAGAAAATTCCTATTTTTAATTAAGGTGTGAATGGTGATTGCATTCGTCACAAACCTTACACCTGTGCTTCCAACCTCTAAAGATGTGCCACTCTTCAAAGTAATTTCGACTTTTTTTATGTTTTTTCATTGTTATATATAACAAAAAATATTATGTACATATGTGGCTAAAAATTTTATTATGTGTTGTGGGATTATTGACCAATTTGAGTTAGGGTATGCTAAAAATGATACTTTGTACTTTTTATCTGATCCATGCATAATAATAATGATAACATAAGGTATAAATTTATATGCGGAATTTATTTTAACACATTAATGAACAATAAGATATACAAACCTGATACTCAATATTGCTACCATTATGTAATATCAATAATGTAGTACATACGTAAGTAAAATTCATTTTCCTGTTGATCTTTCTGATAATGTAGATTTAGACAAATAATTTTTGTTACTTCAACAGATCAACCGCCTATACTAGATATTAAAAAAGTCGAAACGAACTACAGTAAATAAATTAATTCTTAGCAAATGAATCAAATCATAAATAAAAGCTTTATTAATTTTGTAGATATATATGAAAATAGCCTGGGCCAGCTAAGTAGAAAATGAATATTGGAGTAGCAGTGTTTCAAGAGAGGAACTTGCTGGTCCCTAGACCATAATGTAGCAGTTTCTTCCTGCTACTCCGTATTATTAGCTAAGTTAAAATTATTTTTGCTATCAATCCAAGCACTTATTTTATTTAAAATACTACCTCTAAAATCATCATTATTATTATAATAAAAATTTTTTATAGTTTCCTTATTAATCTTTTCCATTCCAAGATTATGAATCTCAACAGACATCATATTACACATATTGTCTAAAGAATAATTATTGTTTATCATAATCTTATCAAAAAGAATTTTAAAGTGGTTTCTGATTGTTAAGGTAATATTGGAAAAAGATAATTGATTTGAGTTACTAGAAGAACTTAGAGAAGAACCAGAAAATCTTTGAGAAAAATTGAATATAGATATGGATAGGCTAGCAAATTGTTCAGATATTAATGGTGTTACAAAACTTGTCTCAGTTATTTGGTCCAACTGGTCATAAATGAATTTATAATTGGTAGTGATTTCATTAATAGTTTCAATCACAGTATTTACCATTGTTAGGATTCTCTGTTCTTCGATCACAATTGTAACATCTCATGATATAAGATCTGCAATTCATTTTTTTATACATGTTTCAAGTTCTGTAGTAAGTTGCTGTCTGACAATATATATAACAGAGTACATGGTAATGAAAATCAGATGGATAGAAATTTTCTCAGTGAACATCATTATTAATACAAAGGTCAAAAATAGTGTAATTTTTAAAACATTGATCGAAGACATCTATAATGAGAAAAAAAAAAATATTAGTATAGATACATGAGTGCAAGGATAATGTACAAACAAATTAATTAGCCTATTGTAATACTAACATCTTATTTTTAAAAAAAATTACAGGTACATTGTTTTGTTTTAGAAGAATTAGTCAGAGGCTGGCAAATGTCTAATTTTTTAATTGCTTATTGTAATTTATTACTAAAGGCAATTACAAAGTAACTAGAATGACTTATTGTTTTATTAGCCATGCCTTCTTTGAAGATATTATTATAGAGAAAATGGTAGAGGGGTATACTAAAGATTTTTGAATTCTTTTTATACAAGATTAAGATTTCATGTTTTAGAATCTGATTTATTGTCTCTGTCAATAAAGGCCAGAACATACTAAAAAAAAAATGTTAATTACATTATTATTGCATTATTATTGATTTATCATCAAAAACATGAGCATAAATTCTGATTTTGAGAATGGGAACCTGGATCTAGAAACTTAAAAATATATAGTCCAAGTAATATTAAGTAAGATAAGTAATATTTATTAGCTGAAGGGTTGTTTATGCTAAAGCTAATATATTTGATAAATATTTACAATTATAATGCTAACCATTATATTAAGATCCCACTAATATACACATATATATAGATTTTCATATAATTAATAACTAACTTCTAAAATAACATTAGAGTGATACATGATCTTATTTAGAATTTGACTTTCATAATGCTACTCAATTTTTGGTTAAATATTGAATATAATATTACTATTTCAAGTATATTTAGTGATAAAGTTATAAATAATCGATTATTAACAAATTTATTCTATTTTATTAGTAAAAGTAGCAAGACTAACATATCATTCCTTATATTATAAAAACTTCAGTATATAGACCAAGTACTACGTATATGCTACTAAGAATATGCTAGAAAGTTTGAGCAAAAATATGATAAGTTTGGGTATTATTTTATGATGATTGATCGATTCATCCAAGATACACATAATATCATTATTGCATGTAATTTAATAGATCGTGACTCAGACTAAGATTTGCTTATGTTGGATTTACACATGACATTGTCCCTGAGGCTTATTATAATATGATATAATTTAATTTTGTGATCACAATCTGGACTAACCGATTTTTACATAATACATTTTTATTATCCATAATCGAAGCATGTATTTGAATGTAAAGTTGATCAAATAGTCAACTGAAAAAATATATATGACAGATGGGTAAGTTGGCTTTCTTCTCTATATATTAGATATTTTATATATTCGAATATATCTTCTTCAAAATTATATGAATCTAGAGGGTTTCTATAATTAAAGTCTTCAATATTTGACAATATTGCATTTTTAATTTTTTTACTAAAGATCATATTATTATTTAATAAATACCTTTCTACTTTTATGAGCTTATCAAATATTGTCAATACATTATTATATATGAGCTCAATTTTATTATCATTTATATATGATCTTCTATAGCATCTGTCTAATTTTTCTAATAAATTATGATATTTTATATTAAAGTATTTTCATCTTTTATAAAGTTCATGCCAAATTTCTTTATACTATATACGATTAATATAAATACAGTCATTTAGATCTTCTGTTAGCATTTTTTAGATGATTTTAGTGATGGTTTCTGAAAGTGTAAATGGGTTGAATATATGCATGTTATATTGTATATATCAAACATATGGGTTTTATTAACTAAGACTTTTTATTCTTTTAGAATTTTGCATGATATTTTAATTTTATATCAAGTTCTTCAACTTGAAGTATTTTGTGAATGTTTTTTTTTATTTTAAAGAAAAAAAATATTAATTATATATACATCTGGATCACTGCTATGATCTAGACTCTATAATTTTGGTTACAAAGAAGACAAGTAAGATGTACTTTTTCTTTAATATGCCCCAAATTATTGTGAATTCGATCTACTGTCTACTAAAATATATCTCCTGGCTGATCCTATTTGAATTTTATTTCAATGAGACATGATGCAAATTTGTTTTCTTAAATACATTTTAATGTAAGAATATAGTCAACTGTTAGATCAAATTTACAATCTTTTTCTTTGTCCTGGCCTATATATTCGATAAGTTTTTCCTGAATAGACAGTTTTAATTTGTACTTTAGCTGTCTTTTCTTTTTTGACTTCTCAATTTCTTGGGCAATTTTAGAAGGTAATAGAGGCACTTCAACCTGAATGAGTTGGTTTAAATATTCTATACGATCAACTGCCAAATATATTAGATTATCTCAGACTAAGTTTTCATCAATAATCCAAACATGCTATAGTGACTTAAGAGTTATTTCCTAACTAGTATAAATAGTCATAGTATATCCAAGTTCCCAATCTATGACTTTTTTATCTGCCAACATATCTTTTAAGAATTTGTCAGAAAGTGTATTTAAGGATAAGTATACTATATCATTTTTTACTAACTCCTTCTTTTCAGATAGGTCAGAGATCTGAGCAAGGCAGTTTTGTTTGCATCTATCTCTTGGCCTATAATTTAATAAGATTGGAATTTCAGAATATTTTATTTGATGAAGTTCTAAACATTTTTAGGAAGCAATTCTCTGGGAAAGTATATATGCTAATAATATGCGATCTGAGAGAATTCATTCTTTTTTGAGACGTTCCCATTTTTCTATAGTTGGAAGAATTCCTTGAAATAATTTTAATTGTATTCGATTATTTTGTCGATACATAGCTTTTTTAAATTTATGTAATTTAGGACATTTTGCATGATAATTAATTAAAACTTCTTCATAATAATCAACATGCTCTTTTAACCAATTATATGGCATTTTTCAAAGAATGGTAGAGGTTGCGCATTATTATCACAACAAATTACCTGACATTTATGTTCTAACAAATAATTAATGAAAATTTCAAGAATATGCTTAGGAACCGTACATACCTCATCCCAAATAATAACTCATAGAAATTTCTTCTCTCCCATATGTTCAGATGTCCATTCTTCTACTCCATTCCATCTAAAGAAGCTATGCCAGGTTTGAGCTTTTACATTATGTTTTTCTTAAAAATCTTTAGCTAATGCATTTGTATGAATGAAAATAATCATCTTTATGTCTTTAAAAATTCTAATTGCTCATGTTGTTTTACCAAATCCTCCTTTCTCATTAAGATATGATTTTTGATATCTTGTAATAAGATCATGAATTGATGAAGCTGTACTATCTGAAATATCTTTGATCGATTTCCAATATCTATTCTTTGGCCAGTATACAATATCAGCAACTGGTTCATATATTTTTTTACTCTTATTATGCCATTGACCAGCTTGAATTTCTCAAACCTCTTGTTCTTCTTGCTGATTTAACTGCTTCTGGCAAGAATCTGATTTATAAAACTATTTTCCAAAACAAAATCTGCAAACAAACAGAGTATGCCTTTTACATTCATATTTTACTAGAGGCCTTTTTGTTTTTAGAAACTCTTTAATCCATTTTGCATATTCTGATTTTAAAATAAGAAATTCTTCTGAATCACTACACATTGCACAAGAAGGATAGTATGAATATAAATTTGGATCCAACTTTACCTCAACTTGGTTGAAGAATGCTGATATATTTTTGATCTTATATAATGCCTCTTTTTGTATATATATAGAATCTGTAACAATCCTTACTACTTCATTAGGATCAAATCTCTAAAGCATCTCTAGCAAATTAATATGCGCATATGCTAACATTGAAGCCTGCAAATGTGTGTACTAAGGCTGATGACTCTCAAAATATGTAAGTATAAATCTGAGTGAACATCTTTCTCTTCTAGCAAAAGTTTCAGCATCTGTACAATCTTTTATTAAGAAATCAAGTTCACCTTCATCTATTACAAGATGATGAGTAAGTTGTTTTTCTTTATTTTTTCTGCTCTGTATAAACTTACCTATAATTGCACAACTAATATTTCGATTTTTTGGTAACTATACTTTAGTCTGCCATGTAAGAGAGATAATTGTCTCTCCAATAGTTAAGTCTTCTAGAATACCAGTTTCAAGAAGATATTGTAACAATACTATTGAAGCTTATTCTTTATTTTTTATGCATCCTTCTCTACTACAACATGCAAAATGTTTTCTATACCAAACTGGGATTACTGGATATATGTTAGAAATGAACTTAAAGAAATTTAACTGTGCAAATCCAATAATATCATCTTAGAGCAATTTTCTATTTACTGCAACTCAGACAAGATAATGTGTTGAATGCCCAAATTAATTAAATCATGGTGTACATTCTTCTTGGCCTCGCATACTTGCTGAATAGCATTCTTTCATATCAATACATATGATATCATTAATATAATAATTGGATGCGTTTTAGCATCCACCATGCTCATGTTTAACACAGGCTCGTTTTATATCATTATTTATTTTTTCAAATATTGGATACTACTCATTAATCTCATTGGCCAATTGACTTTTAGTATGATTTGCATCAAATATCTGTTCTACTAAATCAACTACTTTGAGAGACTCTAAAAGAATTAATCTTTTTTCTTTATTAATTATGTTTCTTGATATTGCCAGTTTATTGCATTATTAACTAATTGTTTGCATGCTTCTATAATTTCTATATATTTTTTTCATGTTTTAAATGTACAACCATCTTCTAAACAAATTGTGATATTCTTTGGGTTTTATCTCCTACTCCTATAAGCCAGATTGCTTGAGGATCTTAAAAAGTATTATTGATAGCTTCTCAAGTATTGCCTTTATAATATTCAACCATTTAATCTCATGAAAAATGCTGATTTCTTAGAAATGCATAGCTATTATGAACTACTATTTCTATTTCTTCATACTTACCTGATTGGTATTTTTTGTTATTAAAGATAGTACCATAAGTAATATCAAGTAATGTAATTGGTCACTTGAGAATTTTTTCTAACTCTGCTATATTACATACTCAAGCATCTGGAATGCACATTTTTTTCTTCCAATCATTTATTTTTTGCCAATGAATTTTTGTGAGTCCATGTTCTCTTTTGGCTTGATCAAAATGCTCTATTACTTGTTTAGCTATACAGTTAAATATACCATCCTTTATAGGCATTAATCGATTGACATCTGACTTTCAGATTTGATATAATCCATAAACTACTGCATTGCTATTAAGTCTTTCTACTTTAGATTGCTCACTGACTTCTCTGACCAGAAATTTTTTGTCTATTCCTACCCAAAATTCTTGTTTTGTTTTCTTTGTAAGTATAACATTGGGGCTACCCCTGATGTATTTTCTACTTGCCTTTTTTAATTTAAGAATAGGCTTATATTTATCAATAATTTTAAAAATAATCTTTGTTTAAAATTCATCTTCATATACAGAATCATTTCTAATAAATTTTATTCTTATTAAGAACTCGCCATTATCAATTGCATTTAAAATTTCTTGGGCTCGCTTTTCGGTCATCCCAGCTTCATATTTTTTGGATTCTATTTCTGCAAACCAGGTTGAGAAAGCATATTCAGCATTATCTACTTTAAACATGTCTTTTGCTATCTGAATACTCTTTTGCCATATTTCCTGATGCTATTCTTTATCTGAAAATAAAACTGGCTAAGGTACTTTTTTATCTAAATTTTTTGAATCTTTTTCAGACTCATCTTTTTGGTCAATGATTTCAGGAGTTGGGGTTTCTTTTCCCTATTCTTTTTTTTGCCTTTTTTTGTATACTTGAGTAGTTAGACCAAATTCTGCTTCAGAATCTTCTTCTATTAGTTGGAATACTTTGGTTTTCTTTTGCCATTTACTAGAAGATTCTTCCATTAAATCAAACTATTCTATATCTGTTTTTGGAACCTTTTTATTAATAATAGTTGGATTATTTTTTATTTTAGGATTCGCAAGTCAGTTAGCCAAATCCTCTATAGATAAATGCATTGTTTGGCCTCTTTTGGATCCTTCTTTTTTATAAACATAGACTACAGAAGATGGAAAATTAGATGTTGGCAATTGAGGTCTAGATATATTAGGATTAGGTGGATGAACTGGGTTGGGTATTTGGATTTGCTTGCACTTAAATTTTCTGTTAAGATGATTTGTTAAATCATGAGTCTTTTTAAAGTCATTCTTTCTATATCGAGGACATTGGAATATCATTTTTGATAATAAGTAAATCAATTTAGTTCTTTGTATTAATAGTACAAAAACTTTTGTTCAAATAATAATTAATTATCCTTTTTTGATCTTTCAATTAGCAGAAGATAGCCTAAAAAAATTTATATCTATTCTAAAAAATTTACATCTATTTTATTTTTTTATATCAGGATTATAATCAAAAGGTGTTTAAAAGCAAGAAAACAAATTAGCAAACTTAAGGTTAACAAGCTTCGAAAAGATAAGAAGACAAATTAGCAAACTTAAAGTTAACAAAAGTTTAGATAGGTAAGAAACCAAATTAACAATCTTAATGAGAAGAAGGCATTAGAATTCAATCCCTATATATAAAAATTTACACTATGATTATAGAGCTTCTAATCTAATTCTAAAGCCAAGTAGAGTAGCAAAAAATAATATA